GAAAAGGGTGCTATAGAATTTATGAGGCCCAGGATTCTCCATACTGAATTGCAATAAAGTTATATATTTAATTACTATACAGATAGGGATATCACAGGAAATATATAGGCTGAGGACATAAGTGTCTCAACTCCCAACGAGATGAGAGAAGATAAGGGGGCTCTGGATACCACAAGAGATGAAAATAGTCCCACAGCAATAATAAAAGGGTGTTTTCTGTTATAGGTTATTGAGCTAACTAGGAAGCTGGAAGTGGAATGCAAAGTTGATTTTGAAGTGAAAATATATCCTGGGCAGACTCATGGCTTTGTACATCGCAAGAGAGAAGACATTAATCCTCAAGATAAACCTTACATTGAAGAAGCAAGGAAGGACATGCTGTGTTGGCTGCGCAAATATATCTAGCAATCTGTGCAATCTATGAAAATATCAGAGAGAGAGAGAGAGAGAGAGAAAGATTTCATTAGTGGAAAAAAAAGAATGCAAGACATAAGCTTTGATTACTTAAATGCATAATTTTCTCTGCTATGAGCAAATGTATATAGCAATAAGGAGGCTCAGCTGCTGCTCGGAACAATCTCTTCCCCCAGACCGCATACCCACCAGCATCGGACTAGGAATGGAAACGTGGTTCTTTGTTCTGACACGCAAACTTGTTTATTCCTTCCTTTCCAGTACCAGACTCTCTCCCAAACCTCAAAAGCATTATGATGGTGCTTTTCAGGAAAGAAGTGACGTTTTGTCTGTGTTTGTTGCAGGGGAAGACTTATTAGCTATTTCCCTCTCTGGAAATATGATGCCTGCCAGGTTATGAGACAGACTTTCACAGCAAATAGCAAATTGCATTGCAGTTAAAAAAAAGTAGGTGAAGTAGTAAAGTATCAGTACTCAGTCACTCGACTGTGAGAAAGTAGTGAAAGTAGTCTTCTCTAAGCCCAACCCAAGAAATACATCCAATTTTTGAACAAGAGGGAACTGGGGCTGGCGCCCTATAAGTCTTTTCTATTCCAGCATTCCTAATTCTTAGGTATTTCCCTGTCTGGAAATATAATACCTGCCAATTTATGAGACAGGCTTTCACAGCAAAAAGCAAACTGCGTTGCAGT